GAATGTCGTTATGCAGCGGAGACACAAGAGAGCGTCGTATAAAAGCAAATTCAACCTAAAGTAAAGTTAGTTGATGTTCTGGCTTTGATGTTGGATCACACTGTAGCGAAGACGCACGCCCACGCACATGTCACGAATAGAGTTAGTTAAAATATTTATGATGTAATCAGGAGACAATATGTGGAGCAGCCCCGCTAACAGCCGGCTAGGAAGAGTTTGAGCAGACGCCGAAAGTGCCCAAGGTGTTTTCTAAAGACATGTGGGTGTAATAAAGCTCAAAGAAATATTTCTTAAAGTCCACATGATATGTTGCCACAGGAGCGGCCCCCCAAAAAATTGCTGCTTGATAACATCACAAGCTTCATGCTTCCCTGCATTCTGGCTTTGAGGGAGAGTTCGCAAATATCGATTGAACTGCTGCAGATCAAAAGGAAAACATATGTGAGACTTAATTTAACGTGGACTTTTCCTTCGCAGGGAGATGATATAAAGACGCCATTTTATGAGAGTAAAACATACTGTAGCTTGTTTTTATTTTAAGATTGGAGAGATGTAACTTCATATCTTCTTGAGCAGTTCAAACGGACATGAAGTTAAATCATCCAGGGAAGCATTATATCCATATTCGGGAAAGAATGCAATGTGAGGAGATTAATACTTAAGACTTTTATGGCTACTTTAACATGTTGAAAGGTTAATTATGTCATAGATATATCAGTATTATATATTAAGCTTCATAAGGGAATATTGGTGGTGGCTCTTTTTTTTCTGCTGGCCCGCAGAGCCTCTATTGATTTCTCACTGTGCCAGCAGCTCTTAAAGAAAAGCTTGTTGCATGATAGTTTAGACATTACATCCCTAATGCCAAGATCATCTCTGATCATTTCATTGATTCAGAGAGGAATCAATTACAGATGCTGCAGAGCCTCCAGCTGTCAGTACCCTCAGACCAGATCAACCACAACACATGTTATGATTTTAGAAAACTGTTCATGTCATTCCAGGAAATGCGGGGCTTTCGGTTTTGGTGTTTTCATGGGTATTTGTTGACAATTATAAAAATACAGACCATCGTCAGCCTTATCCTTTACTGCAATAGAGCAGTGGATTTAGCTGGGTATACAACCTGGGCATGTAATTAATGGGGTTGAAGCATTTTATATACAGTATTATATATGCATCACTTCACAGTAGTGTTTTAAAAGTGGTTTTACAGTTTATACTTAATTAAAAGCGTTTCCTTGGGGACCTGGCAGACTGTGTGACATCAGCAGTTGAGCTCTAGAACAGTTCGACTGTGACACAACAACCAGCATTCTACATCAGAACCCGCAAACTCTTCACCCTGAGCTCACTCTGTTCATTTGTGCCAGGAAGAGCAACCAAGTTGTATTCTCAGCCCTATTGTCAAACCTATCGTTGTGAAATTTTAGTTGTTGCTTTGAAAGTTTTGTTTGTTCTGTTTGTTCTGTATTGTGATATACAGAAACTAAATATGGAGTTTCTTGAAGGAAGCAGAGGAATCTACAGACCCATCAGGGTATGTCAGAGGCCCAATTAAGAGGGCTGCATCCTTCTTGAGAGTGTTTGGTTTTTACTGCAGACTTTAAACATCTTCAAGTTTACTTTTAAAAAAACTAACATTATCTTCTTTGGTTTAAAGGTGTTGTTTGATACAACCATCTATGATCGGGCTCTGCAGCTCTGCTGGCATATAAAGAGCTACAAGTCTCAGGTAAGAACTACTATCCTTCAAAGCCCACAGCAACACAAAATGCCAGGTAAATCCTGATAAACTTTGTCTTGTCATACTTAAAGATGACATATCTCCTTGGTGTTTTTCAGATTGCTCTGTTGATGGAACTCCTAAAGCTTCAGCAGAAAAACCAGATCCCATCTCAGGTAACCGCTGAAGACATGATTGATCTCATTCTGGAGAGGAGCAAAAATACGCTGAGAGAGCGGTGAGTTACTGACACAAACACACAGTCCACCACTACACCTTGAACTCTTCTCATGTCACACCAATCTGTCTACAGTGAAGTGTAACAGTAAAGATAATGTCTGTTTTGTTTCTGTTTGAAGTCTTTGGGCGTTTGAGCTGGAGGATTTCGATGAGGACGAAGCCAGGCCTCTTCTGATGCTGGTAAGACAAGAATCCCAACACCACTTGAATTAGATTGGAATGATTTGTTTTATTATGTTGATTTAAATCTCTAAATATGAAATAACTGGACTATATACCTGATTTGTTGGTCCAGGTGTGGGCAATGAACGTCAGCAATAAAATGAGGGATATTGAGTTTGAGGCCAAAATGCTCCTCAAGTCCCCAGAGGCCATACCCCCTAATTTTCAGTGAGTCACATTAGACACACATTATCTATTAACAGCTGAACTACATTGGTTTTAATACGTCTGTGATATTCTGAATAAAATGTATTCTTTAAAATGTATTTTTATTGACTGTAACCCACAGACATCCTAAAGTCCTCAGCATGGCAAAAGACTATGCCAAGATCCTGAGACAGAGACAGCAGGAGGCATCCAGCTCTAAAGTGCTCTCTCCACAGGAGGTGGTGATGGAGGTGGTTCCCAGAGTCCTGCAGGGCTTCTGGGTGCTTCCCCCTCGCTCACTCTTAAACATGCCTTCCCAGCTGCTCAGCAAACTGTCTGTTGGGGTTGCAAAGGCCACTTTGGACCGTGTCTCCAGTGCTCTCACCACTATGGGACATCAAGCCAACTTCTCCCGCTCCATGAGGGATGACATGGTCCTGTCTATCCTAACAGAGATCAGGCAGATGTACCCACACGATATCCTGGTGAACAGGATCAAGAACTTTGCACCAGTGCTCCTGAGTAAAATTGCTGATGTCGCCGCAGAACAGATTTGTGAGATGTTTCGGCCCCAGAGCCCCAAAGTGCCGGCTCATCTGACACCTGCAGTTGAATCTCCAGCCACCACTTCTGAGGAGCAGCAAACACCCAGTCCACAGATAATCTCTGCTGTGGTTGAAACTCTACTGTCACACCCTGCTGAACCTGCAACCAAGGTTCACGCCAGAGAGGATGGTAGTGGAGAACCCAGCCTGGATAAGGACGTCAAATTCTCTAAAACACCAGACTCTGCTGTAATCACACCCCCTGCTGAACCTGCATCCAAGGTTCAGAACAGGGAGGATGTCATTGAAGAACACAGCCAGGTGAAAGACCCCAAACCCTCAACTGAACCAGACACTGCTGTGGTTAAAAAACTACTATCACACTGTGCTGAACCTGCATCCAAGGTTCAGGCCAGAGAGGATGGCAGAGGAGGATGCTGCGGGGAGGAGGACCCCAAAGCTCCAACTGAACCAAACACTGCTGTGGTTAAAAAACTACTGGCACAACCTGTTGAACCTGCATTCAAGGTTCAGGCCAGAGAGGAGAGCAGGGGAGAACCCAGCTGGGTGGAGGACCCCAACCCCTTCATTGAACCAGACATTGCTGTTGTTCAGGTTGCACCAGTTCCTCTTGAACATGTGGTGATCGCAACAGGTGACTCAGAGGTCACATCTACGAACAACAGAGAGACAAGCTTCCTCGACTTCCTTCGACCACTGCGGTGTTGTTTTCTATTCACAGACAAAAAAACTGATTAACTGTTGTGATGTATTAAATGTGTTGTATTTAATAAATATATTCTAATTAAAACATAAAATTATTGTGATCATGTCAAATTGTTTAAATACTCTACTGTTTAAAGTATGAACACTGATTTGGAATGTGGAATATTTTTTTCATTCACAATTTAATGCTCAGGGTAAATAAAACATTTAACACTCTAGCCCCAGGTTTTTATTGTTTTTGTTTTTCTTGTTAAACACAATCTACTTTGTGCAAATCCAAAAATACTGGTACAGAATATAATTTTAACTGCTAAAGTATTACTCAATGGTTACGCAAAATATTACCTATAATAAGTTAGCAATAATAAATTCACCAGAAACAGGCTCTATCTAAAAAGTAAAAAGTGTGTAGAATGCCTACATATTGTTTTGTAACAGGACGTATTTAGAGCCTACTTTCAGTAAATATGGTAATATCACAAAGCCAAAATACTTACAAGTAAAGATGCTGCATTGAAAGTAAATGTAAAAGAACAGGAGAACTATCAGAAAAATGTACATAATGTACAATGTATAGTTAACTAAATTGAAGATCAATATACAGAATAACCTTTATATAAATGTTCTTCTATGTCACCATTCATTTCACAGTTCGTAATAATTTGTTTTCCAGGAAAGAACAATATAATTTGGTGCTACTTACAAGGAAAATAGCAATTTCCCTGAAAGGAAAACTTAAATCTCCATGTATATTAAATCTTACCCTGCCCTGTTGCTTATTTTACATTTTACATTTTTTTTTTGAACTTGCTGTGCACTGACTAAAAGACTCTCTGGGTAACACATGCAATTAATTGGAAGTTAGGAAATTAAATGTGTGCCAACTAGACCCTGTCTTTATTTTCCCTAAAGTAGAACCAAAACACACAGTTCTTCTCTGTAAGCTTGAGATGTGATAAGAAACTGTTCTTAAATTACAGACCCGTAAAATGAAAGAACACCTCATCTTAAGATATAGGCTAACTCCATTACTATTTTTACAAAAAAAAAGCAAACTAGAAGTACAGTACTTAAGTAAGTAATTGTACTACCACCAATGAGCATGCAGTCTAGTTTTCACTGACAAGAGAACTTCCACCCTTAACACCTAATGCCACTGTGCCATGAGCAAGGCATGGTATATCACAAGCCACTTGTTGCTATGGAGCTGCTGCAGGGACCATTAAAATACAGTTTTGACAAAGAAACTCCCAGGTGTGACTGTGAGTAACCGAGTGTGAAGCAGAGATTATTGTTCAGATTGTTCCAGTTTCTCTTGTTAAATGAAGGCTAAAAAGCGAAATGTCAACAAGAATAATAATAATAATAATAATAATAATTCAGGACAAACTTACAGGTGATGTAGTAGTTGACGTTCTTCTTGAACTCCAGGCCCATGTAGTTGGGGCTGAACTCCTGGAACTTGATGGTGAACTTGATGTCCTTCTCGGGCTTGTTGCAGTTGACCAGGACATTAGGATCGAGGACGGTACTGCAGCTCTCCGCCTGCTCCCTCTTCACCAGGTACAACTTGTAGAACTCATATTCTCTGCCTTGGTCCGCTTTGGGACAGATGATGTCCAGCTTGTCCCCGATGTCTGGGTAGATCACCAGGCCTTTTCCAGCCAGAAACCTGAGGGACGAAACAAAGAAGACAAAGTGTTACTCACACATAATTAAGGCAGTCTGGAAAAGCAGCCACATAATTCAATAGTAGTTTATACAGTCTTAATACTTTGAGCTATGGGAGTTATGGGTTTAGATTTGTCTGGCATGGGCTTTTAGGAAGAGCGTAGTTAATTTAACCCCACAAAAAGACGGCATGTAGCAGCTTGACATTGTTCAGTGTTACTCCACAGAGCGTTTCACACAAATCCTCTAAAGTTTCTTACTCCATACTTGGATCCGAATCAAAGCATACCAAAAGTTTGCAAGGAGGGAAACAAGATGGCCATACACAAAATGGCTGCCACAGAAATGGCTACAGATAGGATTACATCCAATGAATGCCACAGATTCTTTTCTTCTTTACTTTTTTTTTTTTTCATACTTTTGGTGCTTCAACATTATATCAACACTGCCTCTATTTCAGAGGTCAGAGTTCTGGAGGAAAACAGTGCGCAGGGGTCAGTCAGGAGCACAGGTCGGGAGGTTAAGGCTTCCTGGTTCATCTTCGCTCTGCCATGATCATCCACTGGAGGATTAAGATAATCCATCTGGCCTTACTGTACCTCTCCACCTCGCTCTCTGCTGCCAACTCAATCAGATCAGCTCTTGTTCTCTATTATTCACTAAAGGTGGGGAACAGGAGGAGACCCAGTGTGCGTGTGTAAGTGTGTGTGAAGAGAGGGGGCGGGGGTACACTGAGTACTTGCAGTGTGTTTGGGCAGTGGTGTGTATGTTTATGCAGGTCTGCATGTGTGTGTATGTGTGCTAGTCGGTCAGCAAAATGGGCTGAGGTTGCGGTCTGATGGGGGGGCAGACGGGCTGAATCATTGTTCTGGACTTGTTTGAGGCTTAAAATGTCAACATGGTTCAGCTCTGCTGTCCCAGTTAGCCAAGCATTAACCCAGACAGCCGGACTGACCACGGGTGTGTTTATGTAAGTGTGTGTACATGTGTGTGTGTGTGTGTGTGTGTGTGTGTGTGTGTGTGTGTGTGTGTGTGTGTGTGTGTGTGTGTATGTGTTGTGGTCGCAGACAGTGAGCACAGCAGCGGGGCTATCTGCTAGATCTGCCCATGCCAGCGGATTTAAGCAGGATTTAGCAGCGCGCAATGCATTTGTTGTTCTTTCTGATCCCTCACGTTTTAACAAGACATCAGGGGCTGGGCCCCTCTCTGTCTCTCTCTGCCTCTCCCTTCTTTTTCTCTCAGTGTGTAATCTCACCTTATCTCCAGCCCCTCATTTCATCATCACACACATCATTTCACCACTAAATAACTGACTCTTCAGACTTGCCGGGGAAGGGAGGACCGTGATGCCTCCTGAAAGAGACTGATAGAGTAGTGTGTGAGTGTAAGAGGAGGGGGGGTTATGATCGCCATCCCTCCTCCTCTGATGTTAAACACTGGCAAACGGCCAGCCATTGTAAGAAACGATCATTTAAAAAGTCCCATTTTCTGAAGAAATACCCCCCATGAAAATGAACATGATTGGATTAAGGCCTTTTCAACATTCATGGGCATTCTTCTTTGACAGGGGCATTACCAAATAAATGACTTAATTCACTAAAGAGATAAATGCAAAATGAAATTTGCAAAACGGTCAAAATCCTGCCCGTCAGCCCCCACACGCACCTTTTTTTTTCTTCTTTTTTTTTTTTTTTGCTGAATATGATGTCATGAAAGCATGTGCGGACAGGGGCTCTCATACAAGGATTGGAAGCGGGTGAGACGTTATTTCCCCGCTATTGTCTGATGCTCATGGGAGTGAGGCGGGGGTGAGGGGAGGGGAGGGGTTGCGCTAATTCAAGGGCCGATAAGAGAGAGAGAATGTGGGGTATCCTTTGTCCTACCTCTCCCAGCAATTTACTGGTTTTCAGCAGCAACACTCTGCATGTGCTCATATATGTGTGTGTATATTTGTGTGTGTGTGTGTGTGTGTGTATAATTGACATATGTCTTCATGTGTTTGTGTGTGTGTGTGTGTGTGTGTGTGCACACCATGCCTTGGTACACGTGCGTGCGTCTATGAAAACATGGACACAATCAGTCTCTAATTGGATCTACAAGATGCATCAGTGAGGCATAAACAAGTTTCCATGGCAACATTAGGCTTTGTTGCTGACCACCCCCTCTCCTCCCCACCTTCTCTCTATTCCTCCCTCTATCCCCCCCAATCTCAGCCCCCTCTATTTCTACTCCCCAATCTCATTCCCTCTCGCTTTATCCTTCCCGCTCATTCACCTCCTCAACATTTCCCTCATTCTGTTTTCTCTCATCTCCCCTTCTCCATCCTCCCCCTCACCACCCCCCCTCATCACCACCACCCCTCATCTCTCTCTTTACACACACAAAAAACACCTACAGAAAAACAAGCGTGAAACCAGAGGGAAAAAAACGAAAGACCATGCAAACATCACAATTAAACCTTGATTTGTTTCGCTCAACAAGTAGGTGTTTTCTATTTTCTGTTTCTTAGTAGGGAAATTGTTGGCAACTTTTTTTCCATAATGTTCTGTTTCAAATGTGTTAAAAACGTACTTAAAAGCCCACCTCTCAAATAAAACAATGTGCCTCACACCCCACTTCCCGGTTTTACAACCCATTTATTTGATTATCAAAGCGAGCCGCAACAATTTAGATGAATAATTAAGATTTCCAAAATCATAATATCTTAATATCCCTGAAGGATTTAATCACAAGCCGGCCCCTGTCATTGATTCAATTTTCCGAGCAGGCCTCCTATTTGGCGGTTAGATAGCTATCCTAAGTGAATTCTCCGCTTCTGTTTCCCAGCCTTTGTTAACTGTCTGCTATAATGAGGCTCTGGCTGCTGTGGAGGTCTGGAAGCGCCATCGCAGATGGGAAAGAAGCAACATAAAAGAAATAGGGCAGCAATTAGTGTTTAGCCCAGTTTAAAAGCCCTCCACTTGGCAAGCTGCGGCCCAGCTCCAGTCCAGGATGTGAAACTAAACTGGTGGGCTGGGACTTTGTCTCCCGTTTGTCTCTCTGTTGGCTTAATCAGCGCCACTCCGGTGCTACACACAGCCACGCAATGGAGAGGAGGAGACGAGTGACTGAAGATTATTGTACTTTTGAGGAGGTCGAAAGGGAAAAAGGGGGGAAAAGGGAGGTTGCATTGCATCTTTCATTCATGTTGTCTGGAGACTTTATAAGACCTGTTGATGAAAGAAGTTTGAGAGCACAGAGGAAGAGCCGTGCAGATACAAACGATGTTTCTGGGAAATGACCCTGAACGTGAGAGAGCCTTTATCCCCCTCATGTCAAACGAGGTGGATCTGCCTGAACCAAACAAAATAAAGAGAATCATTTTCAAAACAACCAAATGAGGTTGGTTTTGTTTCATCTGGATGGCTCCACAGCGTGCTCAATCCTGTAAAGAGCTTATACAAACAGACCTACGCTACAGCGCAGCGGAGAGAGAACAGAAAACAACGAAGCAGTGGAAAAGAGAGGCGAGAGGAGAGAGCCCCCTCCTCTTTCTTTTTACATTCCACTGGTGAATATGAGCACATGATCTCACATATGCTACACCCCCGCCCCTCCACCATCCCCACCACCTCCCCATACACGCACACACACATGGATGTGAGAGCGCACAAAAGCACTGTGGGGTGCATCCTGGACCTTCCCAGCCCAACTTCCCAGCCACCTCTATTCAAGCGCCTTGCCCTCACCGACTTTCATATAAAACGCCGCCTACACTAAGGCCCACTCAAAGCCCCTTACAGAGCCTAAAACCAGCCCTTCCCCCCCGTGTTCTCCACCCCCGTCCAGTCAACTCAGGCCTCTGCCCCGAGCATTGCACTGGCAGGCAGCCTCGACCGCCGAATGAATGGACCCGAGACACAGGAACTGTGAGAGAAAGAGGCAGAGACGGCTCATATCAACAGAATGGTGTCAAATTGATTTGTTCCTCCTGAGCAGCAGCATGAACATGCCATACATATCAATTAAAATCAATTATCCTCAACTACGTATACAGGGCAATCCATCTCCACCAGGGGAACATGCCAACGGCCCGGACACAGGTACTACTTCTTCTTCCTGTCTGTTTTTTTCTGCAGCCGAACAGTCGATCTTTCTCTCTCTCTCTCTCTCTCTCTCTCTCTCTTTCTCTCTGGCCTTTAAAGCACACGAGTGCGCCGTGTAAAAACAAACACATACACACACTCCACACACAATCATCACCACAATAGGTACTCTATTCCCCTTGCTATCAGCGTGGTAATTATCACGCCAGGAACAGCGTTCCCTCAACAATTATCATTTCTCTCTTGCACTATCCACAAAATCAGTGTGGCTGCTTCCCTCCTGTTATTACAGATGCCACTTTCCATACGGCAGCCATATTTACAGCCGTTTCAATCAATATTGCATAGGCTTACCGTTCAGACAGATTTTACGGCTTCTCGTGAAACATTACAGTAATTCACCCACATGAAAGGGTTACACTTAAGTCCGTAATGAACACAAAGCTGTGTTATGCAAAGGGTATTGTAGTTGAGCTCTTGTGTAATATATATATGTAGCGTCGGGGATTTAAAGCTTCACTCGCCAGAGGCCGTCTATGTTTTGTGTAATCACAGGCTACAAACCCATCCTGTTCTCATTCAAGTCAATCAATATTAAATAATTGTCTGCTGGCGGGGACTGTTTCAGCCTTAAACCACTTTCAGATCCATCAAGATAGAGCCACATGCTTGCTCAGGCTCACAATGGAAACATTCAAACAGCAGCTTCTGAAATGGCTTCGCTCTTGATATGTGGTTAAGATCCACTGAGCGCTGTTGACACAGTGTGATCATTTCATACTTGGGGAGAAAGGCACATATCATCAAACTGTCAGCATGTTTGTAAGGCTACAGAGAAATTCGCCACATCTACAATACTCTCAAGTCATGTGAACTGTCGTCTATATGACTAACAGATCTGAAACCGGCGCGGAAC